AACATTATTTGCTTCATTTCAGATGTGTTTTTTTTTTACAATGTACTCCAGCATAGCCCGATAAAACCAAACTCAGTGTTATGAAATGCTATAAATCCATTTTGTGCTTGCAAAGTTTGTTCTCTTCTCTGTAAAGAGATCATGTAACAGTAACTGACGTGTAAAAGGACTTCCACTTAAAGCAGCTCTTGCCACACTAGTCAAGAGTGTACTCTAATTGCTTTCAGGAGGGAAAAAAAAGGTGTTTTTCTGGGCTAGTTTCACTGCAGTTAATTGGGGATCCCATGATGGTGAGGATCAAAAGGAAAAGATTTACCTTCTCGTAAAACAAAAAGGCGTTAAAAGAGCTGTTTTTCTGGGCTAGTGTCATTTCAGTTGAACATAATTGGGGATTCCATGATGGTGATGATCAAAAGGGAAAGATTTACCTTCTCATAAAACAAAAAAAACAAAAACATTGTGCACACATGCGCAACTTAAACCCTTCACCAGCTACCGTACATTTCACTGCTTCCAGTTAATGTCTTCCCCTTTAAAACTAAGAGTTAAGCTAAATGGCCAAATGGTTTCCATGGAGATGAAGAGTAGTCTTTGCAGATTTAAGGGTGTAAAGAATGTTAAAAGAAAAACTCAAGTGCTCATTTGCAATCCTTCTTGCATGTCCTGATTTAGAAGCGTTCCTGGGTCAACATACTTTGTTGATCCTGGAACAACATTTCCTAAGCATACTAACCCTAACCATGACTTATCCCTTAAATAAAAGGGAAATGATAGGTGAAAAAAACTGATGTAAAAGCACCTCTCCCTGGTTGTAAGGCTACTACAGTGTAGGGCTGTCAATTAATTGTGATTAATCACATCCAAAATAAAAGTTTGTGTTTACATAATATATGTGGGTGCACTGTGTGTAATTATTTTGTGTGTGTGTATATATATATACACACACACACACACACAAACACACACATATGCATGTATTTTTAAGAAAAAAAATATTTATATATTTTTATATTATATTATATTTATATATAATTATAATTATAAATATATAATATATTTATATTATATTATTATAATTAAAATAATTATATATTTATATATATACTGTATATATATTTATAATATAAATGATATATAAATCTATATACAGTATATACATGAAAATATTTTACACCCAATATTTTATACACCCACATATATTATCTAAACACAAACTTTTATTTTGGATTTTAATCGCGATTAATCGTTTGACAGCCCTACGGTGCAAACACTTTATAACTAGTTTGTTACGTTTTGTTTATTCTAAATTCCTTTGAATTGTAAAACAGTAAGACTAGACCTTGAGTACACACAATATGGACACTGTATGGTGTAATGGAATAACACACTGTGGCGTCTTTTTCATAAAGATGAATTCAGCATATAATAAATAGGAAAACATTAAAAATGTAAAAATGTAAAAATCTACTCGACTTTACTGCAAAAATATGGGTTCTTTTAATTCAGACAATAGGTCATGATGTATTGATCTTCAACCCCAGACAGTAACGGTTGAGAAAATGGCAAAAAAAGTTTTGCATTTGCTTTTCCAAAGGTCAAGTTTGGTGAACTCTGACCTATGAATTTACATCAGGTGAAGATGTGTGACCAGTCCCAGACAGCATCTGGTACACAGATGGGGGCCGGATCTGGGGCGACACTATGTTGCTGTCTGGGACTGGTCACACGTCTTCACCTGATGCGAATTCATAGGTCGGAGTTCACCAAACTTGACCTTTGGAAAAGCAGCGAAATGCAAAACTTTTCTCATGAGCTTGCGTTTCTGGTCTGATGGATGTAAATGGAACGAAGTGTGTAGTGTGACCGCCCCCTTTATCTTATTGATGTGCCTTTGCTGCCATGGTAACCAGTGCCTCCTGGTTCTGCATTTGGGTTGCGAGGGGCCATTTAAAAAATACGGTTTTCAACTATAACCGGAAAACTTTTTTCCATTCATTTACACGCCAACAGCATTTTGGGCGCCTTAAAACGCAAACTTTTTAAAACGATTTTCAAAGTGCAAGTTTTTGAAAGCGGTACCATCATAGTCTCTGTGTCTCTGGTGACGTCGTGTGCATGGTGTGTGTAGCCCGTTCTCATCCCAAGGCGTCATATACTGACGCTTTTGACATTTTGTCTATATCCGACGCACATGGCACCCTTTAGCGTCAATATGAGACAAATATTTATATATATATATGGGGATATATAAGGCTCCTCCTAGATGTATAACCCTAAACCTACCCCAGACCTAAACCATAACCGAACAAAGCTCTGTGCGTGATATTGACGCTAAAGGGTGCCATGTGTGTTGGATTTAGACGAAATTTCACTATAGACGAAATTTTTAGACGAAAGTGTCACTATATGACGCTCTAGGATTTATTTATTTATTTATTTATTTAAAAGAGGATGAGAATGCGTTGGTATTACGTGTTCAGTCTATAGATTTCTTTACAAAGTGACATCGCCCCCTATTGGCCTGGCATGAATAATCCAGCGTTTTAAATCGTTTTCACTGATCAGTGTGAAAAGTGATCGCATTGACAACGTTGGCGTCTGTTTTTAGTACATCCTTGTCGTGTAAAAGTACCCTTAGTTGCTCTTCAGGAGTAATTCCGCAGAACTCTACCTCATGGTTTGCTTGTTGGGCGAAATACTTCGCACATGGCACCCTTTATCGTTAATATAAAACGCGAACCCAAGGCGTCGTAAATCCTTTAGCGCTAATATGAGATTCCCCTACCCTACCCCACACCTAAACCTACCCATCACAGCATGTGTTATATTAACGAAAAAGGGTGCCATGTGCGTAGTATTTCGCGGTTTTGTTCACATATGACGCTAAAGGATAAAAATGCGTTGATATAACATAGTAATTGTGTGTCTGATCTGTCTCAGTTGATACATTTATCATTTAATGTCACAATGCCAGATGTTTATAGCCTGGTTAAAACCAGACCATCATCGTGTAAAGCCCGCCCCAACGTTTCTGATTGGTGCCTCGATTTCGACGGATTGGAAATGGGCTTGCCATACAGAAGTTGTCTGGGTTTTCCCAGGCTAAGATGTTTACTGACTGGTTAAAAGTCTCCTTTACTGACAAGCTGTAGACTCTTATCTAGAGACCAGAATATGAGAACTGGGGCAGTACTGCTTTGAATTGGCCAGTAAGAAACCACCAAAAATATCTCTTACAATAGAAGAAAAAAAATATATCTGACTGAAAGTTGAACTTTAAAACAGACAATTAAGGAATACAAGTAGTCCTTCACATCATCTTAGACAGGATGCAGATTTGTTGTATAACTTCCATGATGACTTCAGGGGCTTCCTTAGTTACCATGTTCCCTAAGCCCAGTGCAATTAGATTAAAAGGGCACGCAGATGTTTTGCCAGTTTTGTTTGGAGGTATTGCATGTCTTAGTGGATGAAGTTAGTGTCTCATTAAAAGCGCTGTTCCTCTGTACAGTCCTATTTCGAGTGGTTCATGAATTTGAATTTGGAGCGTTAATCAAATAAGCGTCTCTAGAGAATATCCAGTCATCACTCGACATGAGAACCTGCAAGCTTCCTCTGACAATATCAGAATAACACAGCACAATTTCACTCCCAATAGGGGTTATGTGTGGGAGTGTATAGAATTATAGGAATAATACACCCAAACATGAAATTTCTGTCATAATTTTCTCATCATGTCATTTCCAAACCCCTGTGGCATTAATTTTCTCTATACTTATGATTTTTCTGTAATAATCGCTGTGCTGCTCTTATTAAATATTTGAAATCAATTGTGAATAAATGTCATTGTCTTGGCATGAAAAAAAAAATGAATGTACTAACAAATGCATGTGCTTTATTTTAATGCCATGGATTAGCCTCCTTTGAAATCAGCTTACCAAGAGTAGGCAGCCATTTTAATTTCAAACTTTTGAGAGATAATTAGTCTTTTTGTTGACTAGATTTTGTCCTCTGAATAAAAATGTCCAAACAATACCCTTGAATTTCATCATATTAAATAATGAATCATAAAACATTCAATATATAAGAACGTTTTCTAAATGTAATACAAAACAAGTGTATAAAGTGTGTCAAACTACCATTTCTCAGTTTTGCTTCTTCCTGGTGCAGCTCATATTTCAATCATTTTGTAACGTTAAAGGAGAAGTTCACTTTTAAAAAAAAACTTGCTGATAATTTACTCACCCCCATGTCATCCAAGATATCCATGTCTTTCTTTCTTCAGTCGAAAAGAAATTAAGGTTTTTGATGAAAACATTCCAGGATTTTCTCCATATAATGGACTTCAATGGGAACCAAACGGTTCAAGGTCCAAATGGGAGTTTCAGTGCAAACTGCAAACTGTTCAAAGGGCTTTAAACGATTCCAGACGATGAAAGTTTAAGTTTTAAAAGCACTTCCTTGCTCTGTTCTGTGATGAGCGTCTCTCCTGTTCAAACACTGTTCAATCTTTTTTTGAATCACGCGAAGGGTCCTAGATAAGACCCTTATTCATCGTCTGGTGTCGTTTAAAGCCCTTTGAAGCTGCACTGAAACTCTCATTTGGACCTTGAACCGTTTGGTTCCCATTGAAGTCCATTATATGGAGAAAATCCTGGAATGTTTTCATCAAAAACCTTAATTTCATTTCGACTGAAGAAAGAAAGACGTGGACATCTTGGATGACATGGGGGTGAGTAAATTATCAGCAAAAGTTTTTTTTTAAAAGTGAACTACTCTTTTAAAGGGCTTTAATTCAATCCATGAACTGAATACCATCCATTCCCAAATCTACAGCCATGAAACCATCAAATCTCGTTTAATCAATTTAATCGCTGTGGGTGTAAATGGGGCTTTAACAATGACGGAGCTATTTCTCATTATAGGATGTGTGAGTCATTCTTGTTGTTGATGCAAGTCTACATGTTGACGTAAATATGTATTTATATTTGTGCTTTCAGAGGGCCCAGTGATCTGGCGCATGCTGACCTACCCTCCGGCTCGCCGTGCTCTCATTGTGGGTTGTGGACTCCAGATGTTCCAGCAGCTTTCTGGCATCAACACGGTCATGTAAGTCTCCTTCACTCAGTTCTCAGGTGTTCTTTGAATCTCAACTGAAGTACTATTATCAGTCTGTTATCTTTTTAAAGGGGACATATCATGTAAAATCCACTTTTTTAGTAAAAATTCCACTAATTTGAAATTATTCTCGTCAGGTGCTTCGTATATATCTTTAAACTCTGTTTTGGTCAAATTTTGCAACCTGTTCAGATTTTTCTGTTCTCTATGACGTTTTTTGAACAATTACGTCACAGTATTCGCAGCGGAACTGACAAATAAGGACATTGACTACCGGCCCAACACTTCAAGCAATCCGCCATTTTTATTTCTCGCTCCGATTTTGTAGTCCAAGCTCAATGATGCAGAAGTTACGAGAGGGAAAGTCAAAATGTTCGGTTGTTGGATGTAGTGACCCTTCAAAGTTTCCAACTTCAACAACCTCCGCCAGTATAAAGAAGTTTTTGCCGATCGACTTCGTCTGAATGAGGGGTCAATTCCTTCTATCTTTGGAGACGACGACGAACAGAGCATTTCGATAAGCTGTAAATATCGTAAATAAAAATAAAATACTTTACTTTCTTAAAACACATGATGGTCATGGTTTAGCAGTACCTTTGTCTTTCTTTGTTTTTGTGTTGAAGTAAGTTGACCCTGCAACACATGCGAGACTTTTGTAAATGTAAATGTAAAAGAATCAAAGGTCAACCTGCTGAAAAGATGTGTATATGTAAATATGGTCGGGCATTTGTTAATATGCTGATGGTTGTGATGTCATCATAAACATGAAGATTAAAAAATGTCAGTTTAGTTTCAGTATATACAAGTAATTTAGTCAGTATACAAATTATAATTATGAAATATATCTTGATTCAAATATGTCTCCTTTAAAAAAAATGTTCATTTATGTGGGAGGAAAGACTGTTTCACAACTGATTCAAAATTCAGAAGTTGTTCATTCACATTCACAGATGTGACTGTGCCTTTAATTCTCATGTGAGCGGAACTTTAATGGATGCCCTTCTAAAGTGCGATTTCCTCTTCGTGATCTCTTGTCTTTTTCGCTCCTTATTCACTGACTATTTTTCAAGCATTGTAAACAATCTCGGAATGTGTGCTGTTGCTAAGCAACCCCTCATGGCAAAACGAGAAGTGTTTATGGGAGAGAGGGCGGGAGAGGGGAAAATTGTGTGTGTGACAGTGTGTTTGCTTACTTTCTCAGCTGTCATTTTGGAAGATGACAGGTCATGACAGATGGATCCTAAAACGGCATTCTCGGTCAATCAAACACCTTTATTCTTATCCTTCTGTCGTTGTCAATCAATCTGTCCAAAGCAGGTTTAGACAGACAGTATAGCAGTTAAAACTGACAGGTACACTCACACACACACATATGAAGTAGTGTTTGGTAGGTTTAACCTGATGTGCTATTTCATATTTGCCCACAATCCCCTACTCCTCAATTGTTCCTGCATTGTCAGATGTCAATCCTTTATACACAGGAAGTCTTGTTGTGGGAAGTGTTGTCTGTCAAGCTTAACCTATGGACGAAAAATTACCTCTCATGGAGCAAATGTCGTGGGGGACATCTGCCAATTTGATGTCAGCCGGAAAAATCGATTTGGAGCATCTTACACTGCTATATTATTTACTTATATTACACTGTTTCTAATCAGCCCGTTCTCATCCCAAAACGTCATCTGATGCTTTTGACCATACGTCAACATCCGACGTTTTAGGGTACCCTTTAACGTCAGTTAGATGACGCTATCTAACCCAAACCCTACCCCAGACCTAAACCTACCCACGTCATCTAACTGACGCTAAAGGGAAATCGTCAGTTGGATGACACCCCAGGATCGCAATCAAGGGTAGCCTAAAACATCGGATGTTGACGTATGGTCAAAAGCGTCAGTTAGATGACGTCTTGGGATGAGAATGTGTTGTACTAATGGCTGCCCTTACACTGTAATTACAGCATCACAGAAATTCAAGAAGTGTTACAGACATCTTGAGGATCCAATGGCGTTACAAGGTTTAGTCTCAAGCACTTATAATACTTTTCATTGGTTAAATATTCGCAAAACCCACAGACCGACGTAAAGGGTCACCGATGGAAATGATTTATGAAAACCAAAATTCATATGAAAGATTTCCAACAGTTTCCGACAGTGACGATGAAACTCCTCAAAAGAATTGCAAATTTTTTAACAAAGTTGGCTAATTCGTACAAATTCGACAAATATTATGAGTTGCCAAATATGTGTGAATTCATACGAATGACCTACACCTGACCCCGCCCCTAAACCTACCCATCACTGGGGTTTAGACAAACCATACGAATTCGTACGAGTGAGGTCGTACGGATAAGCCACCTAGTGGTCGAGGTCGTGAGAACACAAAGACAATAGAATTGCTTTATCAGTGACAACCATCCCCTCCTGATGGACAAGACCCCTGTGTAGGTTGAAGCACTGGCCATGCTGTCGTAATTAGCTTGTGCTAATGCTTCCTTCCAATCAGACATTGAACTAGTCTGTTTTCCTGCAAACAGCTTTATCTCCCCTTACTCCACTCCCAAGCCATTATTCACATGCCTTAAATGATAATTAATGAGTTATTTAGTGTAGAACATTGATGTTACATGCTAATACCAGAGTAACATTTTCACAAGTCTGAAGGGTTGTAGAGGAAACAGTTTTGCTCATGTTGGGTTGTCGTTGGTTTCTGAGATGGCATCCTGTGTGTGTGTGTGTGTGGCAACTGAGCCTCATCTGTGCCTGGATAAAATGATTAGATTAATCCCTCTTGCCGAAACAGGCAGAGCAATCCGGAATCTCTGCGTTTTAATAAAGACGGATGCTCATTACAGTCACTAGTGGTCATCAGCAATACAGATTGGTTCTAGTGACACATTTTTGGCCTGTTTTCGTTCTTGCTGGCACGCTATGGCTTGTTCCTTGGGTTTGTGACAGCACTGGCACCATTGGCCTTTGGCGCTCTGTGTTTTTGTGATTCGTATGGAGTTGTGCATGATTCATAATTACCAGCTGTGAACCTCCCACAGTCTGTTCACTGACCAGACAAACAAAAAAGCTCTGATCTAGGCTGTGTTTCCCAAAAGCATTGTTACCAAGCTATAGTTGCAAGATCCATCATTACCAACATAGTTCAATGATTCAGCGTTTCCCAAATCCATAGTTCCAGCGAACATTCACAAATATAGCATTGCAGCTATGGGAACTACAGCTCAATTCCACTGGTGGAGACATGAATATGTATTGAAAGTGGGTTATATACTGTATGTAGTATAATAGTATCATACATTTCTCATTTGGGTCCTTCAGAAAATGACTTTTTAGTGCTTGTGCATTGTAGACTACAATCCCCATAGTGCATTGCAATGCTCAGCTCCACAGGCCACTCCCACTACTCCGCCCATCAATGTAGACTAGAGTTGAGCTCCACTCTACGCTACCGCCTGGAAATCATTTCGCACAATGAAATCAGATAATGCGCGCCAGTATAATATGACGACGTAAGATCGTCAAGGCGGTGCCCGCGCCATCAGTCAATGGATTGGCGTGATTCTATGTGGGCTTCAGACAATTGGCACACTTACTCTTGATGCGTAATTTTACACGTGAAATGCAGCCAAACCTTGGAGCGTTTTGTCTTCGGCATCTTCATTAATCCCCTCGCTATCAGACGTTCCGGGAGTCTCCCGCATATTGATAATGGCTCCCTGACGCCCGCGAATTGGTTAAAATCTCGCAGAATCTAGAGCGAGTGAGCAAGAGCGCGCATGTGAGACAGATCAGACTGCGCTCCAAACCGTATAGTGCACGCACGAGGAATTCGGTCTGGTTATAACCGTTTACGTTTAAACCGGTTCCCTATTGGCACCGTGTTTCGGTACCCAACCCTATCCGTAATGTATCCGTCTCCGTATTCAGTACCTTCGTCCATATTTTCAAAAAGTTTCTGCCGGTGAAATCAAACGCTTTGGCACTGATCTGTGATTGGTCTGTTTGCGCTTTAGGTCCAACCCCCTATGGGCGGGTCTAAAAGGGTGGGAACTAGTACTTGTAGTCTTTACAGAAATCCCCACTCTTACACTTCGTCCTACAATGATGTAAAATGAAGATTTTTGCGTCATTGTAGGAGAATAGTGGATCTCGGATTTTTTTCCGGACTCGCGGATTTCTCTCGTTTTAGGGGAAAAACGCGACCATTCAATAGTATGACTGGATTGCTAACAATGGAAATCTAAATGCAAATGAGTGGAGTGCTTTCATATCTGTAGTTCGGTTCATTTGGTCCAGACTAAAGGCGAAAAATTATACTTTGTATCACTTTCAGGCATCCTTTTCACACCACACTGATTGCTCTAGAGTCTAGTCCGAATCGGTTGATGAGTTGATTAAACGAACCAAAATGCAGTCACGTGACAACATCCACATCACTCTTTGACCAGATGTGTCTTGAACATATTTCCACAACTGGTAATATTAATGTTAGCGTGCAGGAAATTTCCAACAGAACTCCCTGGAAGTAAACGAAGAGGAGGAAAATCCGGCAAACATGTGGAGAAATCGCTCGCAATGTATGTTCAGAATCAGCATGAGCTTTATCCTTTCGCAAATCCCCTCATTAAGTCTAAAGTCATAAGTCTAGACGTGATATAAATAAGAGATTCACTGTGCAGTTCGGACAACTTCAGTGACTTCAGTGATTAAGTGAACTTCAGAGCGCTATTGACAATCGAAATAATAATTTTGTTTGACGATGGCAGCTGATTTAGTCCAAAAATGCGCAGTTATTTGGCATTTGGGTCTATTCGAGGTCGGATCACGTTCTCATCACAAACGAACCGCTCCAGAGTTCGTTTGAAAGCGTACCGAGACCACCTCTTGGAGAAGGTCTCGGAACCTCCCCAAGGGGGAAAACGAATTCTGGTGCGATTCAATTGAACTAAATGAGGCAGGTATGAAAGCACCCTAATAGATCAT